CTATCCCTCCATCTGGAAAAAACAGGATTGGTGATGAATAGTACCATATTGCCTAGTGGTCAAGATAGCCTACTAGTCTTGTACTTAGGTAACCCTAGACAACATGAATGGGAGTTGACTGAGGGAGAAGCACTTTCTAAACTGATCTCACTGCCAGCAGTCTGGATTGACATAGCAGCTGAACTGATGTCTCTTCTCAAGGTAGAAAATTTGGGGTAAAAATAAATGACAAATGAATAGCTGAAGGTAAGAAAATTAGTAAATGGCTTATTCAGTGGAGAAAATCTAACATTATGCTGATACCTTGAGAGAGACTAAGAACAAGGGAATAATCTGTTAAATTTTATTAGGGCTGAGAAAGGCAAAGACTAGACAAATTTTTGGAAAACCTGATTAGATCATATGTGCATATACAGCAAGCCTGAATGGCTGGTACCTGAGTAACCTAATCCTTAGAACTCTTTGCCACACTGAAGGACTAATTGTTAATGATGGGCTTGGGCTGGTAAAATGATTGGGACAGGGAGTTGATCCTTCGAGTATGAAAGGGACAATGGCTAGAGAACCAGGGTGTGGCCTGCAGGGTAGTTATTTATTATGGCCATTCTATCTGTATTCCTCCATTCCGGGATGTATGGCAAATCCAAGCCTCTATGCCTGTGTTTATAGACCCATTTTGAAGTGATTTCTTAATTAGGTAGGATTAAGGAAGGGCCAAGAAGCAAGAAAGGAGTCCTGGTGTGGTGCTTTAGGATAAGCGGTCCAGACCCACTAACTGCTCCTCAGAAGCCCTACACTGGGTTGCTATGAGTCAGAACTGACTCAATGGCAATTAACAAGTATTAACATGAAACTAAGGATTCCACCTTACTATAGGGTATGAGACTCAAATCATCACCCTTAGTTTTCCTTGAGGGTATGGTCTAAGTATGAGACTGAAGTCATCACCCTTAGTTTTCCTTGAGGGTAGGGTCTGAATCCAGTATAGAAGAATGCTTTGACAATTTTCTCTCACTTGCTCTGGACCCTTCTTCTGGCTCATCTCTGTTCAACCTCCAGTCTGTGGAGCTGTGGCCTATCAATTGACCTCACTTGGCATGTTTCACCAGCTCTCGTAGCCTTGTATATCAGCAGTCTGTCATTTGACCTGCCAATTTGTGCTCCTCAGCTTCTGAGATGAAACTATGTGAGTGAGGAGAATCCTCCAGACTGATCATTGAACTATGTGAGACATTCCCTTGATAGTTGTGAGTTCTATGAGACGTTGCAAAATCCTAGGATGTAAGGGAGAGGAGAAGTGTTGATTGTCAGGGATTTAGGAGTGATAGTGGGAAAGTCAGACATTTAGGTGTATCTTTAACCTCTACTTCATAGGGACTAGCCTTGTGCTGATCTAAAATAAACTATGCATCTATGTATGTAGTAGAATAAATAAGGTGCACAGTAATGAAAACTTCTTAGCCATAATGGAACATGTTATGAGAATGAGTCACTGGGTTTGGGTTCTTAGGACCATAGTCTCAGGAGACAGCTAAATAAATTGACATAACATAGTTGACAGAGACGATGTTCTACACCCTACTATGGTGGTGTGCCATGGAGTCCGTGCCAACTCATAGTGACCCTGAGTAAGATTTCCGAGACTATAAATCTTTACAGAAGCAGAAAGCCTCATCTTTCTCCTATAGGACATCTGGTAGTTTTGAACTGCTGATCTTGAGTTAGCAGCCCGACGGGTAACCACTATGCGACCAGAGTTCCTTTCACTACACCCTACTGTAGTGAGTAGTTATTGAGGTCTTAAAAGCTAGTGAGCTTTTATGTACAAGTACTTCGGTATGGATTGCATCTCAATGTCAAGAAAACAAAAATCCTCACCACTGGACCAATAAACAACATTCTTATTAACGGAAAAAAGATTGAAGTTGTCAAGGATTTCATTCTTCTTGGATCAACTATCAACATTCACGGAAGCAGCAGTCAAGAGATCAGACAACGTATTGCATTAGGAAAATCTGCTGCACAGGAACTTTTTAAAGTGTTGAAGAGCAAAGATGTCAGCTTGAGGACTAAGGTGCGCCTGACCCAAGCCATGGTATTTTCAATAACCTCATATGGATGCGAAAGCTGGATAGTGAATAAGGAAGATCATAGAAGAATTGATGCCTTTGAATTGTGGTGTTGGAGGAGAATACTAAAAGTGCCATGGACTGCCAAAAGAACCAATAGATCTGTTTTGGAAGAAGTGCAGCCAGAGTGCTCCTTGGAGGCCAAGATGGCTAAACTTCGTCTCTCACACTTTGGGCATATTGTCCAGAGGAACAGTCGCTGGAGAAGGATGTCATGCTGGGTAAGATGGAGGGTCAGAGAAAAAGAGGAAGACCCCCAACGAGATGGATTGGCCAGGTGGCATCATTGATGGAGTCAAGTGTGGCAGCGGTAGTGAGGTTGGCCCAGGATCTCACATTGTTTCGTTCTGCTGTGCATGGGGTTGCTACGAGTCGGTTCCAACTTGATGGCACCTGACAACAACAACAACTTAGATGTAAGTACTTGTCTCTTCCCACCTGTTGGGGGAAAACAAGAGTGAAAGATACTAAAGATTCAAGGAAACAATTAGTTCAAAGGACAAATGGACCATATAGTCTTCAATACCCTGAGATCAGAACTAGATGATGCTCAGCTACCACTACTGACTGCTCTGATCAGGACTACAGAACTGAATGGGAGAAAAATGTAGAATAAAATTCAGAATCATAAAAAAAAAGACTTACTGGTCTAATAAAGACTGATGGGATACCGAGACTGTGGTCCTTAAACACCCCTCAAACATGAAATTGAACCCACTCCCAAGGATCACATTGCAGCCAAACAATAGACAGGACTATCAAGTAAACGATAACACTCGTGAAGAACATACTTCTCAGAAAAAAAAAATCAATCCTAAGAGACCAAAAGGGCTATATTTGACCCAAAACAAAGTTCAGATGACAGAAAGGGGCAGGAAATATGGATGAATGGATATGGGGAACCTAGGGTGATGCTACACTGAGAGAACTGTCAGTAATGTGAAACAAAAGATAAATTCTTAAATGGAAAATTAATTTCATCTATATACTTTTACCCAAATCATAATTTTAAAAAAACAATAAAGATGTATAATATAATAAACATGAGAACTTAACAAGAGACAGTTACAGTAGAGGATATATGAACGTAAAGAACATTTTTCTATTCAAATAAAGAAGAGGGGCATCTACCTGATTCTGGGGTATCTAGGGTGTTATGGGGGCCTTGGTGAGATGAGTAGACATGTCTGAGCTGATTCTTGAAAATCTAGGATAGATAAAGATATTGGCTCCTTAGGCAAAAGAATACAATTTTGTGTTTACAGACTTGAAAGCTAGTCAGTCTATGTGAACTCAATTGTTGAGAAGGAAGTGATGATGTGAGCTAATTTATGTTGTTCAGGAAAAAAGATAGTGATTTACTTTTGACAAATACATGAACCCAGTTTAAAATCAATCCCATCCCAAGAACGATAAGACTAATCAAGGAACAATGAGCTAGGGGCAAGACTAACTGGAATTCCTCCGGGAAGCCCTTTGGTGAGGGCTGATCACAGCCTGCTAGTGAGCCATTAGAGGGCAAAACTTCTGAGGAATCTCCATCTCTGCCTCCTAGGGATGGGGTCTTGGCCTAGTCTCTAGGGCTAAAGGCACCAGAGGCAATAAATTCTTCCTATCCATTCTCCTTTGACCATCCAAGTATTCAAGATTCTCTTTAACAACAACAAAATAGATTTATTTACAGTACAGCCCAGGATGAGTAGAAAGGAGTCAAATTCCACAAGCATCATTCAGTTCAAACATCATTCAGTTCCAGGTAGAGCTCAGTTGTTCCCAAAGACAGCAAGCCCATCTCCCTTCAGAGACCCATGCCCACAGCCAAGTTGAACACATGAAGTGGGAAAGCCCAATGTAGAATCTGTTCCAGGCCTTCCAAGCTGCAGCACATTATCACCTCCCCACCTCTACACTCACACTTCAACCTCCACCCACCCTCAAAACACACATACCCTACTAGTAGTCTTAGGCCAATTCCTATTCTCTGAGCCATCAGAGAACATTGTCTGTGGAATAATTTGCAGAGGTTTAAAACAAGACACTATTCTGTGAAATCGAACACACCATAGAAAGTTTAAAATGATGCCCCTATACCTAATCCTAATCAGCAATGACAGCTATTCCCCTCTTTACCATAGATGCAGATGGCTTTGAAGTCACCGCCATCTCACACAGCTCCAGACTCAAATTTTCCTCTTAGATTTAATAAGGGGTGTTGTCCTCATGCGTGTACAGGAAGGAATCTCAAGTATGGTTCTCAGGTCCACAGATTGACAGGAAAAGCCCTGATAGTTTTGAAAAAGGCTTCCTTCCTCTGTTCCCCTCAACAGATTCTATGGACACTGTTAAAAAGTTTTCTAGGCTCTGTGAGAATAGCTTCGGATGTAAAGGGCAATCCAAACAAGGAAACAAGCAGTGTTTCAGATGAGATACTATTTTCTAGGATATAGGAGGCAAAGAGATGGAGTATAAAATCCCAAGATGCTGTCTTCATCTGAAATCTTCTAGCGCCTCAGAAGAACCCAACCTTGAGTGAGGTAAAGCCTAAAGCTCCACCACCACAACTAGTGACTTTTGACAAAGTCACAATAAAAGAGACAAGAAAATAGAGAGTATTTCCAAAGGAACAGCTTACTCAAGCATTAAGGACTCTGATTAGTAGTCAGAAAGTACTGATTCATGCTAAGAGATTGATATCAGATCATATTTTATAAACAGAAGAACTCAGCAATGAGAGAAAAGACTTAACTACATTTAAGTCAAGGAACAGAATCTGTGGATTGGGTAAAGGAACACTTGCAGTTTTAACATAATTGTTTATTTTTAACCTTTCTACAATTTCTTGGGAAACCTGAGTTAACGGTATCTTTGCTGTCACCTGCATGTGCAGGACTGGGCAATCATATCCTCATACTCCTTGTACAAGATACTCCCATTTGACTCAACCAGAAGGATGCTAATGGGAACATACTTATAAGGGACACAGGAGGGCTGTGGGACACTCTGGTTCACCAGCTCATTGACAAGGTTCTGGATGATGGCATGATTGGGGGAATTGAGACCATAGCGTAGCACCCGAGGGCAGGCTCCCTTACAGTAGTTTGGGGTGTAGAGATGGGGAGCAATGATCCAGTGATCCCAGCCAAGCTGGTGGAAGCTGACTTGAAAAGTGTGGAGGGAACACTGGTTCTGTTCAGGCCTATCATATCGCCAGGAGGGGCCAGGAACCTCAGATGCAATGCTGCCTGTTTGCCGGGACTTCCGTGATAGAAGAGATGATTCCCTTTCCATAAACTCCTCCAAGGCTCTGGGGTAAAGTATGGCCTTCTGAACACTTTTATTTGTGTCGTTTAAATAGAGTAATAAGAAGGCAGTGTCCATGGATGAAGTCCCTTGCCACCGGAGCTCAAGAATCTCACTATCTTTTTGCTGCTGACACATAAAGTGGAGTCGTAGGACCCTGCGCCCCTTTTGATTCCAGAGCCTTTGCCAAACATGTTGTGTGATGTCCATCTCTGTCCAAGCTTTGTTAAGAAGGGAAGACTCTGAAGAACCTCCTCCTGAAGAAGGAAAATGCTTGGTTAGGCTTTTCTGGACCCAGGGCTCCACATGGCAGGAGAAGTGTAAATGAACTAGGTGGAGATGGTGGCGGTAAACCACGATGGCTTTGACTAGTTGGTAAGCCATTTGGTTTGGTCTTAGAGGAAAGTCCAGGGTCTGTCTATGCCAGGAACCTGCATAAGTAAGAGAAAACAAGAGCAGGGGTTAGTTTCTCACCCTTGGTCTCCCTCACAAGCTTGCTCAATACATACTGAAAACTTAGCAGTCTGAAAGTTAATTTAAGATAATGATAATAGCTACCTTTTATTGAGCACTTACTAAAGATGTTTTAGATGCATTAGCTCTTTAATCCTCCGTAGTCTTATAAAATACATATCCCCACTTAGATATCAAAGAAACAGATTCAGAAGTTATGTCAAAGGGCACAGTCATTGTTTAGAAAAAACAATGTCTCATTTTTAGATCAGCGCTAGGCTCAACACTATATCTAATTATGTTATATGCATATTGTATATATAAGAAAAACAATTATATTATTAGTTGAATCTTAAAAGACAGCAATTAAGAAGAAAATCATTGAGACATACATGGACTGAGAAAGAATCTTCGTGTCACATCGCTATACAGTTGCAACTTAAAAGCAACAATCCTCTTAAAATCTAGTCAGTTAAAATCTAGGGTCAAGTTGCCTAAAAATGCCTGCCTACTCACCCCTAGTTGGAGCAGCTATTGTGTCATTTCTGCATTCTACCAACTTTAAGAATTGCTTCTGTGGGCTTTAAGATAACAAAAGCGCAAACAGCAAAAGACAAAATAGATAAATGAGACCTCACAAAAATGAAATACTTTTTTGTTCAAAGGACTTTATCAAAGTGACTAGACAACCTACAGATGGACAGAAAACTTTTAAGGACCCATGTATATCTTATAAACTTTGGATATCTAAGTTAAAAGAAATATTTCTATAACTACTGAACAAAAAGACAAACAACCCAATCAAAAAGTGGGCAAAGTACTTGAACAGACATTTCACCAGAGGATATTCAAATGATCAACAAACACATCAAAAGATTTTCAATGTCATTACCTATTGTTGTGTGTCAAGTCAATTCTAACTCACAATTGACCCATAGGAAAGGGTAGGGCTGTCCCCATAGGGTTTCCTACCTGAGATCATTTAGTGAACTCTGACTCATAGTGATCCTGTATAGGGGTTCTGAGACTAAATCTTTACAGGAGCAGATAGCCTCACCTTCCTCTCGTGAAGCTGCTGGTACGTATAAACTACCTAAAGGTGCTCTGGTAGGGTAGTGGTTATGAATCGGGCTGCGAACCTTAAGGTCAGCAGTTCGGAACTACCAGCTGTTTCGCGGGAGAAAGAGGAGGCGTTCTGTTCCCATAAAGATTTACAGCCTCAGAAACCCTGTTCAGGGTCGCTATGAGTCGGAACCGACGCCACCTGTGGTTAGCAGTCCAATGCTTATCCTACAGTGACACCAGGGCTCCTTTATGGGAATTCCCAGAATAATTTTAAAGGAGCAGATGACCAGATCTTTTCTCCCAAGGGGTGGCTGGTGGGTGGGTTCCTTTAACAGCACACCTTTCAGTTAGTAGCCAAGAGCTTAAACATTTGGAAAACGGCTCAATAGGGCTCTTCCACTAGCCATTGGGGAGATTGCAAATCAAAACCGCAATGAGATATTATCTCACCTCTGTTTGAATGACAATGGTAAAAAAAAATGGAAAAAAATATAGATGTTGCTGAGGTTCTGGAGAAACATTTACATTGTTGGTGGGAATATAAAATGTTGCAGCCACTGTGAAAAACAGATTGGTGGTCCCTCAAAAGGTTGAACATAAAACTACCTTATGATCCAGTAATACTGATCCTAGCTAGGTATATACCCAAAAGAAATGAAGACAGGAACTCAAATAGAAACCTTAACTCCAGTGCTCATAGCAGCGTTATTCACAATAGCCAAAATTTCAAACTGAAATGACCGTCAACAGATGAGTGGATAAACAAAATGTGGTATCGACCACACAATCAACAACTACTCAGCCATCAAGAAAAATAAAGTCCTAATACATGAACCCTGAAAACATTATGCTAAGCAAAATAAGTCAGTCACAAAAAGACAACTCCTGTATACTAGTGGATTCTTGGAGCTCCTAAAAGGCAGGGAATTAGTTATTTGCCTGTATATACTCAACCCAAACACAAAGTTACATTCAACTAAAATATTTAAGAGAGGCAGCACAGCATGGTGATTAAAAACACAGAATTTGTGAGTCTGGAGCTGACTGCCTGAGTTTGATATGCAGCTTTACCAATTACTAAATTCATGGCACTGAGTAAAAATTACTGAGCCTCAGGTCTTTGGCCTATAAAACAGTTAGGTTAATAGTACACACCCCATACGGTTGTGGTGAGGATTAAGAAAGATCTTTTATAAAGCACTTTGCACAATGCCTGCACTTACTAGCTCACAGTAAGGGTTAGCGAGGAGAATTTTAGTTCTTTCTCTTGGGGGGCAGGGGGCACACTTGTCTGCTATCTTGGAGATTAGGGAAAGCTGGAGATTGATCTCAGAAGGTTCCCATGAGTTTCTTGACAATGATGGTGGTCTGCATTCAAAAACCCTATTACTTTGAAAACTTACTGCTCAAAGTAGAGTCAAGAATGACAGTGACAAAGAGAGATTCCAGAATACATTTGGTACCAAAATCCCAATGCAGCAACATGGCTTAAATAGAAAAACTGTACTACTACATATAAAATACTACATTTAAAGACTCAAGAAGCTATAGACTTTAGAATCAGACAGAAGACCTCAAATCTCATATCTGCCATCAAATATCTGTACAATATTTGCAATTTACTTAACTTCTCCATGCTTTAGTTTTGTTACCTGTAAAAAATAAAGCTAATTGCTCCTAAAAGCTGTCATTAAGTGTTAAATACAAAAGCAGATGCTCACAGAGTCAAATGTACAGACTTTCAGATTATTAACTTGCGTTTGTATTTCTGAGGTCTTCTGTAAGTTTCCCCAGCTCAGCCTACCATTGTCTTTGCCTTCTAAAGAGTAAAGTAACACAAGGAGTAAAGTAACATAAGAAAATGTATGGGCATTTCTCAATTAGTTTCCAGAAATTAACAAACTGATTTTTTTTTTTTTTTTAATAGGATAGGTAGGGGCTCACATCACTTAGTTGTCATAGGGTCTGAGAGAGATTCCTCAGGTAAGCCCCAAATCAATCTGTTCTCAAATTTGAGCCTTAAAGGAAGTAGGTTTGGAGTCATCTTCTCCCAAACTGGCCATCCTTTGAAAACCAGCCCTGAGAAAACACCCTGCCCACAAGGCAATAAGGCCCAACAATAAACCCATACATTCTCTTTTCTTTACATTCTTCTTCCCCACTGCTCTCCCCTACAAAGCCAAGATGAAAGCATAACAACTCACCTCTGAGTGGCCTTGCTACACTGGCCAAGGGCCTCACCAACCTCACCATGGTAGCCCCAATAGTGCGGTTCTCCCTCGGGTGTCCCTGTGGGTCAGCTGAACGCTGGTATAATTCCAGCATGTACCGCAGGGGAAGTCCTAGGAGCCGTGGCTTCCTTTGCTGCTTGCTAGGGGCTTCTTCTAGCAGCTCCTGAATTAGGGGCAAGGTGGGGGCCTCAGTCAGGAGAGCAAAAGAGGGCTGTCCGACCCTTGCCATTTGGACCCTGTGTTCCATAAAAAATACCAGTCCCCAAAGAAGAAGGGTTCTAAGGATGTTGAGGAGGACCATCTTGAAAGCCTCAGCATTCAGCAACACATTCGAGTGCAAGCTCTGACCCTTATTTCTCATGCAGGTAATTTCATCCTGGCTCCGCAACCACAAAGGATGGGACCAGGAAAAAGGAAAGGCAAAGAGGCCAGTCTTATGTTTCCTGGACCAGAGAGATCTCCTAACTTGGTCTCTGCATTAAAACAAACAGAAACTGAAGGTGGGGCAGGGCAGCATGCCCCTCACCCCCTTGCTCTCCAGGGCTGAGAACAAGACAGTACTTATTCAGAGGCTGAGGTAATGTAAAAGGAGAGGTCCATTCCAGGACCTTCTACCTTATCCACTAGGATGAAAAGAAGCAGCCCTTGCCCGCTCTGCTCCACAGCTTTAAAGGTCATTTCTTAATCACTCCTTAAAGGGCCAGCAGCCTCCTGCTCCCATCTCACTGATATGTAGCATTTCCCAATGTATGGTCTGCTAACCACTCGCAGCAAAACTATCTGGGGTGATTGTTAAGAATACTGGTCCAGAGCCACACACTGACTCTCTAAGGATGGGTTCAAAATCGGAATTTTAGAAAGCACAAGAAGTTCCCATGTGAACTAAAACGTGGGAATACGGTGTCAGTATGGTTGCTGGTGCTTAAAGAAGATGTCTTAACAGTGGTTCTCAATCTTAGCTGTACATTGGAATCACCTGGGGATATTTAACTATTATGAATGGCTGGACACCATCCTCAGAGAGTCCGATGTAATAGGTCTGGGGTGCTACCAAGGCATCGGGATATTTTAAAGTTCCCCCAAGTGATTTAAAATACAGCAAAATTTAAGAATTTTAAAGTTCTGGTTTGCCATGGAAGGCACTGAGATTCTGAGTGGGCTCCATCAAAGAAGCCCAAGGCAGTGGAAGATGAATCTGCAAACTTTGGCTTGGAGCTAGATTGGATGTTAATGGAAGGCAGCAGTGTTGATCCAGTTGGTTAAGGTTGCCCCAGGTCAGGATTCTGAAGAAAAATGGTAAGTATAACCCTGTCCCTGCACAAGTAGAAACAGATTGTTGGGCCCTTGAGAAAAGGTGGGGGAGGAGGGCAAGACCAGGCTCGAGGAGATGGTGAGGCAGGCCTTATTTGTGGGAAGCCTTTACTTCATACTAAGAATATCTATGAACAGGAAACATTGCTGCAGAGCAGGTTTGATGATAAAATCCTGTGTTTAAGTTACTGAGACTATCTTTTATTAGCTATAATTTAACCTCTCTGAGGAAAATTTCTTCACTTCTCTGTGCCTCAGTCTCCTCACCTGTAAAATGGAGAAGCAATCTTTGTTACTTGTTCAAAACCTAGGTCTGTCATGGAATCAATTCTGACTCTTAGCAACCCTGTATAGGGTTTCTGAGGCTGTAAATCTTTAGGGGAGCAGAAAGCCTCATCTTTCTCCTGTGGAATGGCTGGTAGTTTCGAACTGGTGACCTTGAGGTTAGCAGCCCGACTTGTAACCACTATGCTACCAGAGCTCCTTAGAAACATGTCCAAAATTAATTGTTCCCTTCCTCTGTTTTTTTTTTTTTTTAAACAAAACAAATCTAGATGATCCCTAAACCCATACCTGGACTCAGTTCCAAGTTCAACAATGTATTAGCTAGATGGCCTTAAGCAAGGTTTCTCCTTATTCAATTTCTTCATCTCCTTCAGAGAGTTGTTGTGAGGGTCATAATAATGTTGTAAATGTACAACTGGTTGTTAAAAGATATAAAGAGTTGAGTCACAATAGACAAAACCTGAATTGTCAAAACGTGTCGTTGTTAAGTGCTATCGAGTCAGTTGTGACTCAGTGATCCAGTATAGGGTTTCGGAGGAGCGGCTGGTGGGTTTGAACTGCCAACCTTGCAGCTCACATTGACCTTGCTGTCCAGCGCATTATCCTGCAACACCACACAAGGACCCCACCAATTCATAGCGACCCTATATAGGGTTTCTAAGGAGCAGTTAATGAGTTTGAGCTACCTACCTTGTGGTTCAAATCGACCTTGTGGTCCAGTGCTTTATCCCACAGCACCACACAAAGATACACTATTTAAAATCACATAAGACACAACTCTAAATGCATTGGATTAGGAGAATATTAAAAATTGCACTTTATCAAGTCTAGGCAAATTTGTAGAGCACAGGTTACGTACCATCTTACGCTGCTGGTAGGAATGTGATTTGGTACAATCATTATGGAGAGCAATCTGGCATTAGCTCTCGTGAGTTTGCAGACGTACAATTCAGCAATGCTGTTGCTAGAGTAGTGCCATTCACACACATTTGTCCACGAGTCGCATGCATCTCAATACAAACACAAGAACATATACTCACTCAGACATATATACCTGAAATAAACATTTCCTGAAACAATACATATCCTTATAACACATAAAGTGGTAATATATCGTGGTGGGTAATAACACGGCTCTAGAGCCAGACACTTGAGTTAAAACTTCCGTTCCACCACTAATTAGTTTGACCTTCGTTGTTCTTGTTGTTATGTGCCATGGAGTCAGTTTTGACTCATAGCGACCCTGCATAGGGTTTCTAGGCTGTAAATCTTTACAGGAGCAGAAAGCCTCATCTTTTTCCCATGGAACAGCTGGTAGTTTCCAACTGCTGACCTTTAGATTAGCAGCCTGACTCATAACCGCTACTAGCAGAGCCCTTTGCCTCATTTTCATCATGTATAAAAAAGGAAATAATAACTTCTTTTTCTTTCAGTGCCCTAATTCATAAAATGGGATTAATTAAAAGACCTGCATATTCAGATTTTTGTGAAGAGTAAATGAGCTAACACATGTAAAGGACTTAAAACATTGTTGCTGTTAAGTGCCTTCGAGTCAGTTCTTACTCGTAGCAACCCTGTATAGGGTTTCCAAGTAGCTGCTGGTGGGTTTGAACTGCTGGACCTTGTAGTTAGTGGTCCAGTTGGTACATAGAATTACAGATAAATTCATTATTATTACATTTAATGAAAGCTAATTACACACTTGCCAGAAAATCTGGGACCCAGCTTTAGGCAATGTTGTTGTTGTTAGGTACTCCGTGGTCAAGTTGGTTCCTACGCATAGTTTAGTGTTTCTAATGCTGTAAATCTTTATGGGAGCAGAGAGCCTCCCATAGAGTTGCTGGTGGGTTTAAACTGTTGACCTTGGGGTGAGCAATCTGGCGCTTATCCTACAGCACCACCAGCTTAGGTGCTAGTTCTGGCTTTATTAGTTGTGTGTCTGGCATCTAAGGTACCTTTTGGTCCTTCATATGCACATCACTCCTCCCTCCTCTCTTATCCCCTTCTCTGCCTTTCTCACATTATCTTTGTTCCTTGCCTTCTGTTACAAATGTCAGCATTCTTTTTAGTTGGCTTAACTAAATAAAAGAACACTTGTCAGAACAATTAACAAAAGAGTCTGTTTAAGAGTTTTGGCTGTGGTTTTCTTGGATATTTCAGGGGCATTGGATTGAGATTACATGTGTCAAGAATTTTTCCTTCTCTTTTAGTAAGATATTTTGATACAAGATCAAAAGATGTAGAAACACTGGGAAGAATGTGAATCTTCTTTGCATATCAGTTTCCTTGTTTATTTTTAACTTTTTATTGTGAATTACTCAACTATTTATGCACAGTTTGTTTCATCTCATTGATTGTAATCCTCACAATCCTGGGACCTTTGCAAATTAGTCCTCCCTACCATGTTGTTGTTAAGTGCCGTCGAGTCGGTTCCGACCCATAGCAACCCTGAACAGGGTTTCCGAGACCGTAAATCTTTACGGGAGCAGAAAGCCTCATCTTTCTCCCGGGGAGCAGCTGGTAGTTTCGAACTGCTGACCTTGCGGTTCACAGCCCGATTCGTAACCACTACGCTACCAGAACTCTGCCCTATTTAATCCTCTTGCTTTCCCCTTGTAAGATGTTCTTTATGAAATCTTTCTTTTCCTTGCAAACTATACTTTAATAAATCTTTCTTTCTGAGTGACAACTTGACTTTTTTAGTCATTAATTGGCCCAGCTCCAGTAACAATGTACTATAATTTCATTATCCATTTATCCCTTGCATTTAGGCTATTTTGAATTTTTGCTATTGTGAATAACGGTGCAATGAACATGTTCGTGTTACAGTTCTTATTTCTTTAGGACATATACCTAGTTAGTAGTGGTATTGCTGGGTCATATGGTATTTCTATTTCTGAATTTTAAGCAAGAGTCATAGTTTTTCAGGTTTTCTTCCATCTTAAAATCACACCAGCAATTTATGAGAATAATTGAGGTTAGTTGGGCTGCTAACCTCAAGGTCAGCAGTTCAAAACCACCAGCCCTTCTGTGGAAGAAAGATGAGGCTTTCTGCTTCTATAAAGATTTATAGCCTCAAAAACCCTCTACAGAGTCTCTGTGAGTCACATAACCAACCAATCATATACCCTGCTAGCACTTGTTGTTTTCTATTTTTTGAACTTTGATATGAATATTGGTGTTAAATAATATATATCATTGTTGTTTTGATTAGGTGACACTATAGGGTAACCTTTCAGATTGGATTGATAACCACAAGGCTGGCAGTTCAAGCCCACCAGCTGCTCTGTAGGAGAAAGATGAAGCTTTCTGTTCTTCTAAAGATTTATAGCCTCAGAAACTCTAGTAGGTTCAAAATGAATTGAAAATCAATTCAATGACAGTAGGTTGGTGTGGGAATGACTAGTGATGACAAGCATTTCTTCTTGTGTTTGTTGGCTACCTGAACAAATTTTTTGGTGAAGTATCTGTTTATGTGCTTTGACAGTTTTTAACTGGAATATTTGTCTATTTGTTGCTGAGGTGTTGAATTTTTCTATAAATGTTAGAGATGTCCTTTTACTTTTTTTAAAAAATTGTTTTATTGTGAATTGAGTAAAGGTTTGCCCATAAGATCATCTGTTTTACATTCAACAAATCATAAGCTTTGTTTCATTTCAATGATTGCAATACCCTCCAGGCAACAACAGCTGTCCCACTTCCTCTCTATGGTTACCCATGTACAAA